ACACCCTGGACAGGTCGCCAGTCCATCGCAGGGCAACACACAAACAACCATGCACACACTCATTCATACACCTAAGGGCAATTTACAGTGACCAATTAACCTAACAGGCATGTCTTTGGACTGTGGGAGGAAGCTGGAGTACCCGGTGAGAACCCACGCATGCACGGGGAGAACATGCAAACTCCATGCAGAAAGACCCCCGGCTGGGAATTGAACCCAGGACCTTCTCGCTGCTACCAACTGCGCCACCGTGCAGCCCCTCTTTTGTCTTTAATAATATTTTTAATTTGAAGTGGAACTGATTTGTGTATTAAAGTCATAACCCCTCTAGAATGAGATGTAAACGGTGCCGTCTATATATTGCCCTCCACCTCCTCCTCACCCTTAAATTGTCCTCATCTAGAAGATCTGTTTCCTGAAGAAACACAATTTTAGAATCCATTTCTTTTAATCTATTAATGACCCGTTTGATTTTTTGGAGGCGTTGTAGACCTCTGCAGTTCCATGAAGTAAAATACAATTTCACGTTTTGAGACATAAAATAACAAATGCATTGGGTTGCTCAATATTATAAGAATGCGAGGCACAACAGAACCGGATGTTAGAACACACATCCAACACACAGAACATAAACATTCCCCTTCCTCCGTGTCCCTCCTCCATATTGGAGCAATCCCACCCATAATCTTTGTGTCTCCCGTTACTGCTAGGTACCGATCCACACCCAGTGAGGATCAATAAAGCCACTTCTTAGCTCAATCTGTTAGAAGTCCTACTGTTACTGCAAAGTAATATTTTTAACACCTGCCCACTAATATTAAACAACAAATTGGAAGGACAATTTTACACTTAAATAGCTATTACCTCTGAGGCATCACTCTTTAATTAGTGCTCTGTATGCGCCATGCGCCTACATACGCCATGTTCTTTTGGATTTTCTTGAGAAATTCACTTGCTTTGCCAGGTGTTTTGAACATCAATGTTTTGTTTTCATAAGTCACTAACAGCGTTGCAGGGGGAGTTACTCCATTACGAAAGCCCAGTTTACGGAGCTCCTCCCGGATCGGATCAAACTTTTTCCTCAGTTGATGCACCCCCGTGGCCAGGTCAGGGTAGAAGCGGACTTGGTGCTCCTTGTAATAGACGTCTTTTTTCTCTCGTGCAGCTCGAGCAACAGCCTGCTTTTCTCGGTAGTTGAACTTCGCTATCAGAGCTCTCGGGCGGGAGGCGTTGTCCCCTCTCGGACCGATTCTGTGGGCTCTTTCTAAGCTCACGGAGGGTAGCAGTGTTTCGCTCCCCAGCGTTTCAGTTATCCATTTCTCCAAGAAAGCACATACATTTGGTCCCTCGGCGCCTTCTGGCAAATTCACAAGCCTTAAGTTATTCAAGCGAGACCTTGTTTCCAAGTCTATGAGTTTATCTTCCATCGTTTTGTTTTTGGCTAGCAAAGTGCACACTTTTGCTTGTAAGCTAGTCACTTTGTCCTCCGCGATAGCAATGCAATCTTCTACTTGTGTCATTCGTTCATTATTCAATTCAATTCAATTCAAATTCAATTCAAAAATACTTTATTAATCCCAAAGGGAAATTAAATATTGTTATAGCTCATATTATAAAGGTTTCCTCAAAGAGCCGTTGTAGATGCTGATGGCTGTGGGCAGG